AAACGCAGGGCAGGGACCGGAGCAGCGGCCTCATGCTGTGCTCGGCAGCCCTGGCTCTGGGTACACGCAGCCCAACAGCCCCCCCAAAATACGCGCCCGTGTGGAAACATGTCCCCTGTTGTTGCAAACACCTGGCTGCACGGTGTCCCCTGCACGGGGGTGGGGGGGACACAGCCAGCATCCCTCCCAGCGGGACAGGCACAGTGCTGCTCCCCCGGGAGACCCCTCCAGAGCACCCCATGCCGGCTCCCCACGGGGTCCCCCCGCACCCACCCCCCAGGACCAACCGGGGTGTCCCCAGAAGGGTGACACACGGTAGCCTGGGGACGTGCTACGGCTGTGCCAGCCAAGACCTTACACCAAGGTCTCCTGCGGCGGGCGGTGGGGAAGTAGGACGTGACCCCCTCCCTGCTAGCAGGACCGGCGAGCCCTGCGCAGGGTGGGCACGGGCACCGTGGCGGGAGGGCCAGCACGGATGCCCTCGTGCTGGTGAAGGTGAGAGACGTGTGTCGCTGTTTTATAAATGTACAAAGGATCCCTAATAAAGAGGCACAAGTAGGTCTGGAGCTGCCTGCCAGGGCTGGGGGCAGCAGGCAGGGCTGGGAAGGGGGACAGAGATGGGGTGGGACTGTGGTGGGACTGTGTCCCCCCCCCCAGGGGGAGATGGCGGTGGGACCTGGGGAGCGCTTTGCAGCTCTGAATTCGTGCTGGGCACCGCAAAGGGTGAGCATCTCTGCGTCACTGCCTGCAAAAAGCCTTGCCCGCTGCCTGGAGATTCATGCCGGCAGAGATGCAGTGGTCGCCAGTTGGGGACCAGCAGTGGGAGCCACCAGAGCCGTACCCCAACCCTCAGATGGCTCTGTGGGGCAGGGTGGGCACCCCACCAGTGCCCCGCCGGGCTCTGTCAGCCCTGGGGAGGGGGTGGTGCGATGGGAGGATGGGCTTTCATCCAGCTGGGGGCTGCCGTGGGGTGCGGGGCAGACAGAAGGACAGACAGAAGGGCTGGGGGTGCTGTGGGGGTATTACATGGATGCCATATGCCAGAGTGGGACCCTGCACCCCTGCCCACAGCCAGGCCCCCACGCAGGACACACTTGCCCACGGAGTGCCCTGTCACACCCACGGGGGGGGTGGGGGTTGGGGCATGGCACGTGAGATGCCAGGGGTACCATCAGCCATCCCACAGTGGGACCTCCAACAGGATCCCTATGGGTGCCGTGGGCAAGGGGTGCACAGTGAAACCGAAATGGGGGAGGCAGAGGATGGGAGGGGGCCAAGTGGGGCCCTGCTGGGGCAAGGCACTGGGGCTTTCCCTGGCAGAGGTGTTCCTCCAGCTCCTGCTCCTCTGGACCCTGCTCCGTCTGCTCCGGCCACCCTACGGCACAGAGAGAGGGGACAAAGCAGGGGACAGGGGCTGGCCTCATGGTGGAGGCTGCCACCACCAGGCACTGCAGGTTTCCCTCTAAACCAGTGAGGGCTGAAGATACCTAGGTTAACTGGGTGCAGCTGGGACACAGGATGCCATCCCACAACCCGCATCATGCCCCGCAAAGAGAGCACCAGGATTGGGTCCTAAAGGGAAAAGCAGGGAAATAGCTACATCTGCCACATCTTTTCATCACCTGGTGAGAGCACCAGGTCCCTTTGGGGTCCTTTAGGATGAGGCTGTCCTTCCTACTGGGTCCTGACCCATCTGCCCCTCCAGGATGCCCCACCACGAAGCCACCTTCATCCCCACCAAGGCTGTGCCTGCTGCCTCCTGCTCTGCAGTGAAGATGTTGTGGAGGAGCTGAGCGAGAAGGAGAGCAGGATCGCAGAGCGAGCCCAGCGTGTGGTGCTGGAGCTACTGGAGGACACGCTGAGGAAGGACCAGGTCCTCATACAAAACCTGAAGGTCCTGGTGGCGCTGGCCAGGGAGGGCAGGGGGTTGAGGACTGGGCGCAGCGCTACGCCTTTCTCACTGAGGCGCTGCTCCGGCGAAACATCTCCCAGCTCCAGCAAGTGGCTTTCTGCTAAAACCCTTGCGAAGCCAGATCCTATGCCTCCGAGAAAATAAAGGTGATCTGGGGGGAGCAGGAGTGAAGCACGGCTGGAGGAAAGGCTGAGCCTGCCGGATGGCCTGTCCCAGCTCCCTGAGGCTGCTGGCAAAGTGGCTTCAGGACAGGTCCCGGGAGCACTGTAGTGGTGACCTAGCAAAGATTTGACATAAAGTTATTTTTATCTGTTGCTGTCAGCGCCTCTGTTCTTTAATTTGGCAATTTCCTTGGCACCTCCAGGTGCCACCTCCTGTAGGGTCTCCCACAACCTCCCAACAGAACGGGCAGGTGAGGTGACCCTCGCATCCCCCCTGCCTGCGCCGTGCCCAGTGTCCTGGTGCAGATGGTGCTGGGCTGAGGAGGACCAGCGGGACAACCCCAGGGCCAGCCCCAGACCCCAGTGCTGTGGCCCCAAAGTGCTCCCTCCCGCGCTGTGCCTGTTCAAGGGCCACCGGGTGTCCGGTCCTCCCCAGGGACAGGTCTGCTGCCACTGGGGGCTTGCTGGGATGCAAAGCGACATCAGCCCAGCCCAGCGCTGCTTGAATTGCCTGTAATGAACCACAGGAAATAAGCGGGGTGTAATTAGAAGGGGATCCACTATAGTGAAAGAGGCCCTTAATTTTAACAAGCGCGGTCCTCTGGACAAATGCCAGGCTCCTGTCACCGTGGAGGGGACAAGCCTGGCAGACAGCTCCTGGGGGATGTGGTGCCGGCCCCAGGGAGGGGGCTCCGGGATGGAGCAGCCAACGAGGATCCCTTCTGCCCATGGGATGGGCACTTCCCACCATGCCTCCACTGCCACACACCGCAGTTATGGCTCTTCCCAGGGAAAAGCTACGTTTCTTAGAAAACAAATCACCCAGCTTGGGAGCAGAGAGGCTGGAAGTGAGCCCCGGAGTGCAACGGGACACGTGGCCTCACTTGCTGTCACCTCCTCCCCAGTGCCTCCTGCCCAGAGATGGTGGTGGTGACAGGCAACGCCTGGAGAAAGGAGGAACCCTCAGCATCTCCTGATGACTTGAGCGTGTCGAGCTCGTTGCTTTGCTCCTGGCCGTTTCCCCATGAGCCCCTTCCTGGGAAAATGGACTGGTGGTGCCCGTCGGTGGGGCCAGGCAGGGGACACAGCCCTCCCTTCCCAGCGCTCAGACCCTGCCGGCGGGCAAGCAGGCTGGAAAAACCAAGGAGGCAGTTAAAATCCAAATCCAACCCAGCTGCCTGCCTCTACCCCCAGCCCCGGAGCGTGAGGCTCCTGCAGTCTGCCCGTGCTGGGGCTGTGTGTCCCCAGAGGGGACGTCCTCGGGCATAGCTGGGTACGCTGACAGCCCCGTGCAGGGGAACCCCCACGGGCAGGCACACGCCGGCAGCAGCCCTGCCTGCACGTACAGCTAACGGCTGTTTCCCTCTTCATCAAAAGGCTCCAATTTCCCCGAGCTTGGCTAGTAAAGCCCCTGGCCAAAGCCCCCTGCCCCCTCTGAAGGGGCTCGGTGATACCTTGGGCTGTGAGCCATGGCGTTGGGCGCAGGCAAAGCCCGGCATCTCCCTGCCCGCTCCTCCTTAAGCAGCGCAGCATCTCCTGCCTTCGCTGGTGGCAAACAGGAAACATTTGCCAGGGTTAGCTCCCGCTCTGCGGCTGTCGGAGCAGCTCCTGTGGGACGGGCAGGGAGGCACCGCTGGCCCCTTCCCAAGGAAAGCACAGGGATGAAAGGGCACCACGTTTCCCCTTGCCCTCCGGCTCTCTCCTGGCACGGCCGCGCTTCCTCCATCCTCCCAAAGGTCAGCTCTCGAGCTGATTAACATCACCGGGGCTGAAGTAACTCTTGCCACGGGGTTTAGCGCAGCCAGAAGTAACCCAAGTTCTGCCTTCCCTGCTCGCAGGCTCACGGCTGCGTTGGCAGAGGGATGACTGCACGGGGGAACAAATTTGGGGGGGGAAGCAGAGCGGGGAGCAGAAAAGCAGAGCAGCAGCTTGGGTTTTCCCCAGTTTAAGTCCCTTTCCTTGCCATGGTGCAGGACGGAGTGGGGAGGCAGGCGCCCGCCCAGCCCCAGTGCACCCCGCTGGACCCCTCATGCATCAAAGTGCTTTGCTCTGAGCCAGCCCTTCACACTTTCTTCCAAAAAATTCCCCAAGAGGAACTTGTGGTGCTTTTCTTGAAGGTCATGGTGAGCCGGTAACGCTTTTTGGAAAATTTCTCGAGGGAATCAGAAGTCTACGGGCAGCGGACATGTTATTTTTCTCCTGCCCCGTGGGAAAAATAGCCCTTTTGCTGCTCTGCAGCTGTGGAAAAAAACCCCCACATTGTATGGAAGTACCGGTCAAACCTGAACGGGGATTGCAGAAAGTCCCTGTCTGCTCAGCCACCCACGTCAGCACCTGGGGCCGCTCCTCCCCTGCCTCTTTCAAAGGTGTCACCGTCCCGGTCCAGTGCTCTGCCTGCAACTTGCCAGCCCTGCGTGGGCAGGGAGGGGCAGAGAGCGGTTGTGCCCATGTCCCCACCGTCACAGGTCTCTGCCATTGCCCAGTGAGCCCATTTACTTCACCCAGGTGGCCTGGCCAAGGTGGCCAGCCCGCTTCCATCACCAACCCCCTTCCCAAAGCTTTGCGCATCCTTCCACCGGGTTGCAGCATGTTTTGATGCTGCAAATAACCCGGCGAACACCAAAGTGGCTTCAAACCCTGCCAGCTCCTTTTAAAAGGGAGCGATCACCACGCTGGGAGCGCCATGAGCACCGTCATTTGCTGGTACGTATGTCAGAACAGGGGGGGGCCATCACTGCTGTTGATAGTGCAGAGCGTTAAGTATGCAAATAGCTCTAACTCAGTCTGGGCAAACAGCAATGAGGAGACAAGAGCGACTCTATCTAGACCATCTCGCGACAATTAAATGACAATTCAGCATTTCTTTTCGCAGCCAACTCGATTTGAAGCCGGTGGGCATTATTACCGTTTGGATACTCTTCTAACGCCTAATCACATCCAACTCCTAGGTCTGCTTTGCAGAGGAGAAATGTATCCGTAACGCACCTGCATCCGCCTCGCTCCCTCTGTCCCAGATTCGCATTTAAAGGGAATTAAGGACGTGCTCGGGGAAGATCAAAAATAGAAATACTTGGAGCAAGCTAACAGTTACCGTTGGAAAGATAATAAAATTATACTTAAACATCTATGCTCCTACACGGTGGATATGAAGACTGGAGCAGGAGTATATATATATGAATGAATCTATGGGGAAGGCATGCCACACAGCCCAGGGGCGTTCCGGGAGTTTCGCTGAGCGCTAACAGCCTGGTTAACTAACATTGAGTAGGTTCAGTTAATTTTCTCGGGGGTGTCTCTTCGATACGGGTGTTTTGTGAACAAGTGAAACTGAGGACTGGTGGGAAGAGCCATGAAAATCACGCCTGGAGCCGGCAGCACGGGCAGGGGACACCATCCCCATTTCTTATACTGCAAATGGGAGCTGCAGGTGGTGAGACAGTCCAGGGCAGGACCACAGTGCTCTGCTCAACCCAGAACTGGAAACCACAAGATGCTGAGAAGCCCCAAGATGCAAAACAGCCCCAAAAAAGGATGAAACAAATGCAGAAACTGCAGGTCCAGCCCTGAAGATTCAACACAGTGCTCAGATGTGGCTTCTGGCCCAGGAGTTTCCTTCGTAGCTGATCCCAGATCCTGGAGGGCAGAGCTCACCCCACTTGGACACCCGACCTCTGCTCTGCTGTGAGCCAGGGGTGCCCCATTACTCACGTACAGCCCACGAAGGCTGTTATGGGGACAGCACGTCACGCACGGCCACAACAGCCCCTCACCACCTGCAGCCAGGGCTGGAAACCCAGTCATCAGGACCACGAATTTATGGCACCAGGAGAGACCGGGCACTGCCCAGAGCTCAGCACGCCACAGTGGCAAGGGGCTCAGCATCCTGCTGTACCACCAGTCAGCCACTGTCGCTACTGGTGACAGCAGGACGGCCCCAGGGGAGGTGCAGAACTCCTGCTGTGAGCCCCGAGGGGTTCAAGCTGGTGTTTCCGGATGTCTGCTTGGCCTGGTGCCTGCTAGCTTGTCCCTAAGCTGACAGGCGTCCCCTGGCCTTGCTAAGGAGAGTCAGTCTCCCAGCTCAGGTAGAGGATGCTGCAGGCAGCTTGGGGAAAGCCGCATGCATCCCTGCGAGGAAGCGGTCCAGCCAGCTGCACCCCGGTTTTGTATGAGCATCTACCACCACACAGACCCCCAGAGATGCCCTGGGGAAGAATCAGCCAGAGCCGTCGGTTCATCTCTCTGTTTTATTAGTGTAAACACCCCTCCCCCACCCCACCCCCTCCCCACTATTAAATACAAACCAGGAGCAGAGAGCGGCTCCTCAGTCGCTTTCTCCTTAGGAGATGCGCAGCCAAACCCTCTGCCGTGCCCACCCAGCCGGGCACCGCGTTCCCCCCCCTGTGCCCACCAGCCCCAAGGGCCAGGACCCCCCCACCCTGACTCGCCAGGAGTGCTCCAGCTCGTTGCCAAGTGGCAAAATCCCAAAACCAACCTCCTTATTGCTCTTTTGGGGTGGGACGTGTCCCATCCCGCTGTCCCTGCACGACCGGGCTGATGCACCAAAGGAGCAAGGGGCACAGCCCTGTCCCGGGGTGCTGGGGGAACCGCGTGGGATCACCCCCAGCCCTGTGGCAGTCACGGCCCCACAGCACAGGGACCTTGGGCTCTGTGCGCCCCCGGTTGAGGGGGAACGGTAAGGGACAGGGCAGCCCAGCACAGCCCCACTGGGCAGCAGGGCCAGGATGGGGCCAGCGGCCAGCAGCTCTGGGGTGAGAAGTTGGGCATCCCAGCAACTCCGACCCCACCTCACCCCGGGGTCTGCACAGCCATGGCCGCTCTGGAAGGACCTGGGCACCCCCGGCTGGCCGAC